GTAAATTCTAAGAAAAAATTCTCTCCGTGTACGAACATTACAATGTCCGAAGAATAAGTAAAAAAAAATCAAATAGGATAAATCGAGAGAAATCGAGAGAATTTAAATCTTGACATAAAAGGTGGCTTTTTTGCCACTTCCTTACACAGTGTCTATGTTCGTCCTATCTACCTCTGCGTTTTCATCAGAGTTCAAGAATATCTAGAATATTAATGGGATGTTAGAGCGATGTGGATCGAACTTATCAATAGTACAGACTTTTTTAATTCCGAATTATTTAACTCTTTTTTTCGATTTTACTATAAAGTCAACTTGACCCACCTCCTAATTTTATGCCTATTTTAATTCACGGTGTAGAAGATTTTTTGATTCAGTCAATTCGGAAAATGTTTTACGTTTGTAATGTATCAATAATTTCGTCACACCAGCATCCCCTTAAGTGGCGCCTAGTGTTTTCACCTCTGGACATACTCCATATCTCCTGCCTCTTTCATTATCGCACTCTTTCTCTCTTTCTCTCCTTTCATTTTGACCACGGCACAGCACCAGTAACCGATCCGATCCTATCAAGGATGCAGTTAATTACACGTCGCGCAACAGCCGAGCCACAAAGTCATCAGGTCTCACTCAAAAAGATCAACAAAAGAGCAGGACCAGACGGGCATCCGCGCGATAGGCTATTCGCATACCTGTCAGCTATTAACCGTTGATGCGAATCACCGTTTTATCCTCGAATTATACAAATCGGGCCGCGTTCTTTGTGCGGACCGATCGACGACCAAGGGAGGAGAGCGAGAAGCCGGGTGATTGCACGAAAGGTCGTGCTTTGACCCGCTCGGCTGGCCCGCGAGTGATCACCGTTGTTCCCGCATCAAAGAAATATCTCGTATATTTATCTCCCACTCGATCGAACGAATAAATAGTATTTAATGTGATAGCCGGTGAAATATTCGGCCCGACGTCGTTAACAGCTTACGCGCGTACGTCACGTTTTTTGCGCGATGCACTTACGAAAATGTTTTTAGTAGCGCTTTCGCCGCGCGTGAGAAATAATTGCGTCGGATATCGCTGTGGAACGTCTTCATATTTTTCCGCGAACGCAAATATTTCCCAACACTTGGGGGCAGACACCGATAATTAATACTTTTATTACTGTAATAATAAATAGTTTTTATACGTCGTAAGAGAGAGAGAGAAATCGCCGCTAATTACGGCGCTCGAACATTACTCTTCCTCGATCGTATAACACAATCCTTACACATTATCCGACCGTATAGCACTTAGGAATATCCCTCGCACGCACACGATAACGGAGGACGAGAGGAAGAGAACGAGCAGAAGAGAGCAGAAGAGAGCAGAAGAGAGCAGAAGAGAGACAGGAAACGGAAGACGAGCAAGAGTATGGGTACGCTGCACAATGTTCGGTAAATCATTGGACGTTTATTGCAGTTAATTAGTCGACTGACCGGCCCTGTCAGACTGCTTTGCATGTACCATTCAAAGCAGAAGAGCTACACACGTGTGCGTGATGGCGCCATGCAAAGGTTAATACGTGTCTCCATTCCGTACAAGTAAAGTATGAAGAACGGGACATTATCTTGAACACCGTCAGAATTTCGAGAATTTTATTCAACCCATTCCGGCTACCTACCGACCATTGGATGAGAATTTTAGTAATTGCATCTTCTTCGTTCAGACGCAAGATTCTTCGTGATCGGTTAAGATAAGAAGCAGAATTGTTATAAGGGCGCTATTGACATTCTACCGATGACCGTATAAATTTCTTTCGTGAATTTCTTATTCTTTAAAAAGATAATTTTATTCTTTACAAAGATATTTTTATAAGACCGAAGATAACGTCATTCTTGACCTCATTTCAAATAACCTTTTTTAGAGCAAAAAATTAAAAATGCAAGATTTAGTTTTAAAGTTTCATTATCGTTAAAATATTTTATTAAAAATAATGAAATGCATTTTTAATAGTTTTAAGTATAATATTAAGCATCAAAAGAATGAAATATTATACGTTTTATTTGGTTACGTTTAATATCATATTTTATATTTTGTTTAATATTTTAATTTTAATTTTATTTAATATTATGTTTTATTTTATTATCGCGGACGATGTATATTTTTAACTAAAGCATAACAAAGATTGGAAATAATTTCTTCATAGTTTGAGGGACTGCACCTGCACAACACTATTAAGCGTGAAAGTTATATCATCGCTCAATGGCGAACAATTAAAGCAGAAATCGTCAAATAAGGTCATAACTAATAAACTCATTACTTGTTTCAATATAAACTGAGGTATTCTAAATGATGTAACATGATTCGCTATATAGCTGACGCTTTACAGTCTAAATTAGTGGACGAAAACATCTAGAGAAAGAGAAAAAAAAGAGAGGAAAGAAAAAGAAAGAGCGATAAATTTCCGACGCGATATTCGCCCCTGGTTTCTCGACGGCATGGAATGCCGAGAACCAGAAAAACGGTACACGCTGGACTCGGTTTCCTTGTTAAGGTAATATGATTTGTAGGCGAATGATTAACCAGCCGTCACCTGCGTTATGCGAATCGCGCGCTGATCAATCGCCAATCGCCGTAAAGAGATAATAAATGTGAAATACGATTGGCATTAAGCGAGAGGCATTAACGGAAGTTGTACTAGAAAAGATTCACGCGTGCCTGACATTAAATCAAAATGGATTATTCGTGATGCCTACTATTATTCAATGAGGAGCCATTTCATGTCAGACTAACGTTTTTTAAAATTGTAAATAAATAATTTCCATAAACTTTAATCGGTTCAAAGTATATTGTAATATAAGAAATTTTAAGATTACTTAGATATGTTTGTAAAATTTGTAATTTTCAGAAAAAAAATATTCTAAACAAATTGACATTTTTGATATTGTAAATAAGATCACTCGCATACTTACTTCTTAATTATATCCATAGTCGGTATTTTTCTTCCTGGTATAGCAATCTTCTCGTATTTAACGCCAGCATTTGTAAATTCCTACAACAGAACCGTTAACAAAAACATAAACAATTACATGCATATTGTTGCGTAATAAAAGCAGAATATTCTCCGTCACATGAAACGCAGATGCATTAATAGAACACGTACTGAATTGAACCGCGTGTAATTTGATCGAAGCTATTGTCCTGTTAAACCGTCCCGGCGCACTCATTAGCATCACTAATTATCACGCATAAAACCGTCAATTACAAACAATGTGGATAATCATAGTTTCTGAGTACAAGCGTGTCATTCGAGTATGATGTAAACTGAACGTTCGGAAACCGAAACAATCGATCGTTAAATACGAAATTTGCAAGGGCGGAAAGAAAAATACGACTCTGTAGACTAATCGACACGAGTAAAAGAGAGATTCACAATCATTTGTATTTCAGAAAGTATTCTTTAGTATACACGCGTGTTTGCCTAGATGCAACAACAAGTGTTGCACATTCATGAATCTCTCTATTATCTCTCTATTATCTCTTATAGTTGATTTCAAATCTCAAAAGCACTAACAAAT